ATATAGTCTGCATTTTAATCAGATCTACTTCTTCAAGCAACATTTGAGACAGCTCTGAAGAAAACCACTTTCACACAAGTATGGCCAATCCTATTACCTTACCTTATCACAATGGATGGAACGATAACATTTATAAATAAAATATTGTCTTCTTTTGAAAGAGAAAGCTATTTATAAACACTGTGGGATAGGTTGTTGATCCTCGCCCCAGTAAATCTTTATAAGTCTGTATCTGAGTCCAAATTTGAACCAATCAATACCTCCCAATGCTATTTAAAGTGCTGCCTGCTTCTCTGAGCAATGGATGAAGGAGAAAGAGATCAAGGAATTGCAGGAGCTACGCAAGGGGAGGTTAGAAAATGAGATCAGAGGAGCCAACATTTAACTCTTGTGCAAACAACATCAATGTGCTGCCTGCTGCGGGCTTGGCAAATGATAGAAAGAGGAGAGGGGAGTTTGCAGTGCTTTTGTAGAACAGCAGTGATCTGCAGATCCAAAACAATGCTGGATGAGGTGACCTGGCAGGGTCACCTTGGGCCAGATTTACTACAATTTGCCAGGGCATGGCAGGAAGGCAGAGAGGAAACTTGCTTTTCCCAGTTCCCTGCTACAGGGAGAAGGGAGAGCTGGCAGAGCTGCAATGCAACACAGCTTTACACAGCCCTGGTTTGGAAGTGATGGTTCTTAAAAGGCTGTGTTACTGTAGATGGCATGACAATGTAAATAAAAACATTAACCAACATGAATCAGTGAGTTTCAAAGGCGTTTTAACAATAGAAGTATTTTAACAACAAAAACTTTTAAAAAAAAAAAAAAATCACTTACCTCTGCCTGTGAGATGTTTGTTCTCTTCTCATCTTTTTCTAGAGGAGGAAAAGATATAGAAAGAGAAAAGTTAGTACAAAAGCGTTTCTCAGTGCTAACCCTTGCGACTCTGCCCTGAACCCTGCACTATTGTACGTAAGAAACTACACTTCTGATTTACAGCTTCTTTTTCTGTGTGCCTCAGAAAACCAGAGGCCCTGATTAGCATTTAGACACAAGTGCTATACCTAAAGCATTTAACTCCCATTTTTTATCTGTGAATTAACAGTAAGTGATGGAATTCCTTCAGCAGCAGGTCCTTCCGCCAGGCTTGCAGCAGGGCTCTGCGCTCACCGGTGGCTGTGGGGATACGTGGCTGCTCTGCCCAGGGACTGCACTTTCTTCTATGGTCAGAAAAGGCTTGGTTGCCAAACAGTGTGCAGCAAACTCATGAAGGGCTCTACTGGACTCAGATAATAATAAGAACCTCATCTCAGTTAAGTTATTAATATACCAATACTGGTACTGAAGAGCACGTAACAGTAGTATGTAAAATTAACAAACCAAAGCTGAACAAAGACTAATCTTTTAGCTTAAAAGTTTCATGACATTACTGGACTGAATTTTTTCCTGGAACTGCTTACTTTTGTTGCCTTAATTTGCTTTGGACTACAGGCATGGCAGAAATGGTCAATACTAGAGATTTCTAATGAAAATAAGTGTCTCTGAGAACCTGTCTGAACAGCTAAGTAAAATTGTTTGAAGCAGAGGAGGGTCAAGGATCTTCCTAACCATTGCACTTAACCAGTTTTTGCATGAGAATAAACTACTTTTCTGCTGTCGCCTTGATGTGGTTAATGGCCAGAAAGTGTATGTCTTCTGATGATGACTTCCCAAATATTTGATGCAGATCATGTAGGATCTTTGATGCACAATAGTCTGGAGCTCTAAAATAAAATGCCATTAAAAACAGAGACATCAATCTCTCACTGTACCAACGCCCCTTCTAAAATTTTCCACTTGCAGATATCACTGTGCAATTTCCACTGAGGTGTGGCAGATCTGTAAATGTATGTCTAAGGGAAAAATTAGGTCTAGGCAATATCACTTTATCTATCTTATTCTCTAGATATTGGCTGCTTGTGGTGTGCTCTGTGTGAGGGGACGAGCCAGTCCAAGCAGATGGATTGCATTTTCTATTGCATTCTTTACCATTCTATCTGTGCATCTTGCAAACATTAATTGACTTAATGGATTTTTCAATATATATATTTCTCACTACCTTTATATGAAAGACATTCAAATGACTTATACTTGAGGTTAAAAAGTGTAGTTGAAAACAGTGCTGTTTACTAAAGCGTGGTCTCACAGATACAGAATTAGACAGGACAATCAGGAGGCCAGTTCCTGCCATTGACATTTGTATGAACTTTGATAAGGTGACTAATCTCTTCCTTGCCTTTCCTACCTGTATATAAGTATAGCAGTGCCTATTTAAGTAGAGCAGTGTCTATTTGCCTTTGTAAAGCACTTTGGGGTATGAAGTTAGGCTGGCTAAACGGGTGATTATCTATGCGCTTGCAATCTTTCTTATTAGTCATATACCAAATAGAGACGGACTTCTATGATTCAACTTTGGATTTTTTTTTAGCTCAGGACCCTGGATTTAGTTTGGAGGCTGAAATTTGAATAAATCAGGAACTTTCAGCAGAGAACAATGAAAAGTAAGTTATGTCCCATTCCTTCCTGAAACTCTAAACTTGCCCAGATTGAAAATATGTATTGTAAATCCAAGCTGAGGCTTGCATAAGGAACAAAAACTGCAATCAGCAGCTTTGTTGGGTTTCGGGTCTTGTTCCTAAGGATGTGTACAACTCTAACCGTTTGGGCTTGCACATTTAGTGTTCTTAGTGGGGTGGCATTAAACCTACCAGAATTGGAAAGTTCCCAGCCTGTCCTTTCACCGAGCAGCCCTTATATGACAGGCAAGTTTGGGAACGAGAACTGGCCCTGTATGGAGTTAGAGAAATCATTCATATCCACAGGGCAAATAGCGCCAATGAATAGCATCAGACAACATGTAAATGTAAGAATGACTTAGAAAATCACAAAAAGAAACAGTTTTTCAAATCCAGTAAACAGAGATCGGAAATCAACCTAAAGAAGCAAAAGAGACAGACTTGAGGCAGCAGACATGAAGTGTTTCAAGACAGTCATGAGATGAAGGGAAAGGTAGAGCTGGTTGGAGATGCAGTTTGGTCAATGGTACATTTAGACATGCATTTATTTTTGAGGACAGAAAGATGATTGCACGCTTATTTTTGACACGCATTTTGGTGGATAAGGCTCAATGGAGAGTACAGATTTTTAAGGAGAGGTGACAAGGAATGGGAATGAGGGAAGCTGAGATCCCTCAGTGTCATAGACCGAGGCAGAGAGCAGAAAATAAACAAAACCCCTTTCTGTAGAGGAGGAGGAAAAGATGAAAGACAAGGCAGACATGGAAGAAAGATAGAAGAGCTTGTGTGCAGCTGAGGTAGTAATGAGAGACAGGGACAGTGGGGTTGTAACAGAAGTAAAAGAGGGAACTTGGTGACAGAGAGCAGAGCTGGAGTGCAGTGTGGGCTGGAGCTCAGTCAAGAGCTCTCTGCCTGGGGAAATACTTATAGCCATCTTGGTCTAACTGAAGAATTACATTAATAATTGTGTGAACATTCTTCCTTGGATAAATAGTGTTTTTCCAGTGTAACTGGAAATAATGCTTTGAAAGCAGTGTAAATAAATCAGTGAAAGCATGTTCTTATGACAGTCTGACTAAGAAAGTGTCCTTGTGAGAGTCAATGTGTGTAGGAATCAATGCTCTCACTACAACAGGTCGGTTCTGGCATCAAGAGATTCCACACAGAAAATCTCTGTGGCAACAGAATTTACAATGAGAGTGGAAGGTACAAGGTAAGAAAGAACATCATCAGTTAGCTACTGCAAATCAGACATATCCACCTACAGAAGTCAAACCAGCCACACATTTCCCACCCTTAAATCCCTCTCAAATCCATTGACAATTATAAGCTGAATTTCTTTACTGAACTCTTTGAGCATAAATTCCTCTTGAGAGGGGTCGGAAAAAAAATCACAAATATCAGACTGTGATATCACTTGATTCATGGGAGAGAATGAAATCCCTGGTTTCTCAGCTTCCTTTAGTTCTCATTGATTACTGTGCAGACAGGATTCTGCTCACAAAAAAATCATAGTTACGCAGAATGAAAAATCTCCTTATCATGTTTATAACTAGGCAATTATATCATGGACAATGTGAATTCAAGTAATTAACCATTTCTCTCTTATGAAACAAAAGCCAAGCTCTCAGTAGATAGATTCTCCCTACAGGTTTGCTCTCTTTTTGGGGCCGGGAGGGAAGACGACTTTTTAATGATGCTCCATTTTCCTCCCTCACAGACCATAACATTGCTCACAGAACACAATACAGCTGTATTATAATCCGAATCTCAACATATGGCTTTTTTCCAATTTAACTTACTCTTGGCTGCTCTAATTAGTGAACAGGACTCTAATTACTCAAGTCATTTCTTGACAGTTTTTGTGGTTTTGTTTTAAAGTGGTATAATAGAAATCATATGAAGAGCTGAGAACAGATTTGTACATATCCAAGTTACTGGAAAGTCAACATATGTAAAAATAAGATTGCAGCTTTGTTTAGAGGTTTTTTACATCTATGCTGAGGAAAAAGCAGTTGAGGACTTTCCCCTGTGCTGGGTAAATAATGTCTGAAGCTAGTGTGACCCTTACCTCATGTAGACTGGAGTAGCACTTGACAAAATAAACAGGGTTTCAGGCCTTAGTCAGTGTCCTCAGGAAGAGAAATGGTCCATGTTCATCAATGAAAGGTTCAGTCTAAAGGATACTTCCATCAGTGCAGATATGTACAGAGACTTTCTCAAATGAAGCCTTATTTTTAAGGAGGGACACTTCTGAAAGTCCATTACCTGCACAGAGCCCATTTCAGCATTTTCTCAGAGCTCTAAGCTTTAGTCTTCACCCAGGGAAACGTCTCACCCACTCACAGGGAAACCTGCAAGATTTGGCCTGGCTATATTGCTGAAATATGGAGGAAGAAACACCGTGGAATTTGTCTCCCACATGCTCTTGTTAGCATAGCTTTTGAATGCTTATTAGCACAGCCACCCAGCCAAGCTGACAATAAGCCGAGCTACCCCAAAGGTGTCATCATATGAGGTCAGAAATGAACCGAGTGGAAGGAGGCTGCTAATAGCCAGGATGACAACCGCTTGATGTTGCTGATTGCTTTTCCTGTCAATCTCCACTGTTGTGCAAATGGCATGACCATGCTGGGGGAAGCTTTATGGTCATATTAGAGTAAGATCTAAATTCATCTGCCACTCTCTCCCACCGGATAATGTTAATGCACTTGGAGCACCTATGTGGGGCAAGAGGTGACCTATTTTAAAAGACTTGGCCTCTGATATCACCCATGGGCTCTGCAGTGGAGTCGTCTGGCAAAGGCTTATCTCATCCAGCTAAGTACGCTGCTTTCTTTCCCCTTGACAAGAGCAAATAAAAGCCTTTTCTGTGAGGTTTCAGTCAGGCACTGGAGGAACAGGACAGGTCAGAGAGGCCGGCTTTTACACAAAAGAACTGAGTAAAAGGCTGGTATAATTGATGGAGAAAGCTTCATGTAGGAAGCTTGGAATTTTCCTTGGGAAAACAAAGCTGAGAAGTTTCAGATAAAAATCACAGGGGGCTGATAGGGCTTTGGATTTGGTTAGGTTTTGTCATAGTGTCTAAATTTTCCCTTAAAAATAATAAACACAATACCCTTCAATTCCTCAGATAGTGGAAATAGCCCATGAGTCACATGCCTATAACAGGTTTTAGTTAAAGAATGATTTAAACAAGAACAGTTTGAATCTGAAAGAAATGAGCCTGAAGAGACACTTTAAAGATACAATGTCATGGTCAGTCTGGAGCCTCCTTACAGTCCTGCCCCCACCCTTGTTTAAGCAGCGCCACTGGAGAG